AGAATTTTTCCAGATTTAAGGCAGGGGACCTGTTGCCTTTTGCTTCTTGTTTAGTTTTACTACTCTTTGAATTTTTATAATGTAGTGCTTTGAACCTTCCAGTTAAAAACTTCATTGCGTAGTTACGGGAGCTGGGGAGCCGGTTAATTCTTTAGGTTTACCGACGTCTGGCAGAAAGAAATGAGAAAAGTACGCAAGCGAATGTTGGGACGCTGGCATTACGGGCTCGGTGGGTCTCCAGTTCTCATTTTCAGTGTGCTTGAACGTTGGTGAAGTTTGCTATAGAAAATGATGCAAAGCCCATTTAATTAAAAAAAATATGCTGGGAAATGTGCATCTAGCGCCAACGTGAAGTTTCTGTAACCACCGCTACGTGATGGAGAGCGTTGAAATGTTCTAGCTTTCCACTCCTGCACGGGGTGGGGCAGTGTTCGACAAACTTGGTATCTATAGACTCGGGCTCTCCAAGTAAGCTATTTCGAGCGTTCAATTTTATATTAATAACAAGGCAGTGAAAGAACTTTGTGTTTAAAAGCAGGCCTTATTGGAGGGTCACAATATTTGGCTGAGTTAAACTATGTACTGGATTGATTCTGCTGTAAATAATAGGGTATTTTATGAGGTATAAGGAAGTTTTTGCAACCTTCATTTTGTTTTTGATTAATGAAACTATTTTCAGCAGTTTTTTTTGGAATAATCGGCTAACCAGATGGTTTTATCATAAGATAAAGGGTCAGTGGAGTGTCTTCGTGAGCTTTAAGTGCCTTTTATATATGTTGTGATAGGCGTTGTGTGTGACTTTGTCTTCTTAGGCTGAATTGCTTTGGTCTTTTGTTTGCTTTTTATTAGAAGGGGAGCAGGTAAACACAGCGTTTCTTCAAGCAACACTGGAGAGTAGAGAAAGAGTTATTTAATTAGGAAATGTTGATCTAACCAAAGAATATCCCATGCCTACCTTGGAAACATACTGAAATTGTACTCTGATGCTGTTAGTAAAACAAGGCAGAATTCAGAGGTACCAGCTTTGTACCTCTGCAGGAAGTTTAATTGTTGAAGGACTGAAGGGAAGCTCTTTGATAGGTAGCTGGCCTCCTCAGGACTGTGCATTTTTTCCCCCACTGAGAGCCCAGGAAAGAGTCTGCCTAGTAGCCCTTTGAAAATAGATTTCATGGTATTGTTTAACCAATTTTTGGTTGACAGTGTTTTTATCTGATTTGAATAAATCGCAACTTGTGAAATATTTATGAACCTTTTTGTCTTGCTCTGGTGTGGGGTTATTCAAGGGTAAAAATATCAAATATAACTTTATATTTCTTTTCCAAGGAAATAGGCCTTTGTCAGAAATTGCCTTGTGATAAATGGACCTCAGTAATACACTGGTTTCAGTAGGAGATTTTTATATTGCAGAAAACGAGCTGTTGAAGGTGACTGAGACAACGTGTAGTTCTTGAAAGCCAGGCTTTATCTAATGAATAAATAATGATTTCTACTATATTTATTTTGCATTGATTAGACTTATTTTTAATGGAATCACAGTCCAGTAGAGATATAGAGAATAACCTATATATAAGCAGAATTTATCTTCCTTTCAATTGACTGTAGTCTTTACCTTTTCCTGTTGGTACCTTTTAAAATTGTATGCAGAGAAATCTAACAAAGTAGGAGCTGCTGTGCACATGGAAGCTGCATCTTTGTTGAATTGAACCAGTACTGGTCTCTCTTGTGTTTTTAGTTCCAAATAGTGCTGCATAGTTCTGACTATACTGTTTGGTTAAAGCAAGATAGAACTAAACAACTTTTACTCTGTTTTATAGGCTTAGATACTTTGTATGGTGAGCTATTTTGTAACTGCTGGCAAGTAAATAGAGGATAAATTCAGTGGGGCGGCATTTCATATGTTCACAGATCAGGCTAGTCAAATTAGAAAAAAGAAAACTTTGTAATCTTTAACACTTACCCCAAAGTGGAATGGCCTGCCTGCTGAAATCCTGTGTTGTGTCACTGAATGTACTAAAGGGCAGAATGCACGGTGGCTACTTGTCAACAGTGGATAAAGTTGATGAGAGCAGCCTGCAGAATCTAGGTAAGAGGTGGAGATCATGGTGGGCATGAGACTGTATAGGGGTCTGAGCTCCAGGATTGCTGAGCAGTGATGGACACCAGCAGACTCAGCCTCTGTGGCTTTGCAGGAGTTATCACAGAAGGTACCAGCACTCAGCTGCATCTTCAAACCCCACACTGCCTGTCTGGTATCCTTAATGTCATTGAAGTATGTGCAGATACCAAACACATTATGTTTTAAGGTTCTGTCCCTATAGACTGTTCAGTGGCAGCAATTACTTCCTTGCAGTTGATAGGTCCTAGGATGACCCATTACCACACATTTTATTAAAAATTTGTACACATTGGAAGTTTCTGGGAAGAAGCTTTTTTTCTTTCATTAGTTACCCAGAGGTCTGTGATCAGTCAAGGTTGACACAACTCTACGGTGTATCCTTAAGCATCTGCTTTATTGTGAAATTACAGTGTTCATCCCAGACTAGGCTCTATAAGCAAGACAGAAATGTAAATAATGCTTCCTCAGTAGATGTCAGTAGTACCTTTGTATTTCGTTAGAATTTAATAAAGAACTTTAGCACTTTTGTTAAGATAATTAATACATGCTTTTAGATTTCTGACCATAATTCAAAAACGTAATAGGGCTCATAAATCTTATATCCTTCTGCATTAATCTTTTAAAGGAAAATATTATATGCCATGATGAAGTAGACTTTAGGAAATTATATGCTAATGTGACAAAGTTATTTGTGACTCAGTGTAGGCTGATTTTAGACGTAAAATCTTGTCATTGATTCCCTCAGTTTATCCCTCATCCTGAAGATGAAAAATTATTTTCACTGAAGAAAAAAAATCCAGGAGCCCAGCAGATGGCGTGGTAGTTAAGATTTTGTACTTCCATATGGCCAACCACTGTTTGAGTCCCGGACTTGGAGGCTTGCTTTTTCACTTTCCCATTCTCCTTTCTTTCTGATGAGCATGTATGCCCTTTAGGAAAAAAAAAAAAAAAATTAAATCTACATTGAAAACTTTAAATAGAATTTTAAAAGTTTCATGCCGTTTTGGAGCCATTAGGTAGTGTAGTGACTAAAGTACTGGATTACCACATGGCCAGCTGTGGTTTGAGTCCCTGACCCAGCAGCTTGAACCTCATGCTGGCTCATGTACAGTCATGCCCAGAATCCTGAGAGGAGATGGAGGAGAAGGGATTGTGGCAAAGCTATCCCCACTGGAGGGTGATTTTTTTACTTTCTCTCTCCGTCTAGCTCTCTGGTAAGCACGCATGTCTGATAGCAAAAATGTCTCTTAAAAAAATTTTCAGGGACTGTCAGATGGTGTGGTGGTTAAGGGTGCTGGACTCCCACATGGCTGACTGTGTGGTTCAAGTCCTGGACCTGGTGGCTTACTTTCTCACTTTCCTTCTCTCTGTCTCTTTGTCTGTTCATCTCTGGTCAAATTTAAATAAATAAATAAATAAAGGTAAATAAAATACTTTAAAAATTTCAAACACGTATGATTTTGAGTATATTTTCTTCATGGGGAAGGCAGAATAGTGTTTTTAAAGGAAAGAATCAACATATAAAATACCAGTGATAGGGACCAGCAGATGGTGTGGTGTAATGGTTGCTGGACTCCATGTAGTTGCCCGCAGTTTGAGTTCCTGACCTGGCGGCTTATACTCATGCTGGGCATATATGCGTGTGCACCCAAAATTCCAAGAGAAGAATGGAGGGAAAGGGATTGAGGCATAGCCATCTTTTTTGGGGTGCGATATCTCAATTTCTGTCTCTTTGGCGAGTACACATACCCTATAACAAAAATCCCTCTTAAAAAATGTATATATATATATATACACACACATACACACACACACCAGAGATAAGTACTATACAAATAAGACATTAGAGGATAAAATTATAAAATTAATTATATTCAAAAATAAGTATGGTAAAGAAGGGGCCCAATTTCATGAGTTTCTTTTTTTTCCCTAAAAAAAAAATAATTATTTATTTTCTTTTGTTGTTGATATATTTTTTTAATTTGACCAGATACAATAAGAGAGAGAAAGGGAAAGCTAGAAAGCAAACCACCAGGTCCAGGACTCGAACCGCAGTCTACCATATGGGAGTCTAGCATCTTTGACATCATGTTACCTGCCAGCCCCTTCATGAAATTCTTCTGGAGGTTATTAATCAGTTTGAAAGAAAACTCTTCTACTAAGTGGATTTAGAACTTAGTCAACACTGAGGACTCCAGAATTCTAGATAATTTGATTTTTTTTTTTTCCAAACTGGTGGGGGTGGGGGTGGGGGGGCAGAGCCAGAAAGCAACCCCCTAATAGTGTGTAGTATATGCCTTAGTCTCTTCTCCATCTCTCCATCCTGTGGGATTTTGGGTTACATGCATATACACCAGATGTGTTTTTCAAGTTGTAGGGGCCAAGACTCAAACCAAGGTCAGCCATGTAGGATCCCACTTTACTTAACCACAAGGCCTAGAGGGCTAGCCTGGGATGTTTAGCTCTAATACCCAGTGGATTTGTTCGCTGAGTTTTAGTATCATTTTTAAAAATTGTCTTTAAACTTTTGCCTAGGGGCCAACTGGTGGCATGGTGGTTGAGGAGGCTGGATCCCACATGGCCAGCTACCTGGGCTGGACCCAGTGGCTTGAGGAATAAGCTGGGTGCATGCGTGCCCCAAATCGCAAGAAGAGAATGGAAGACAAGGAATTTCAGCATGGACATGGTGGTGGTAGGGGTGGGGTCATTCTCACATTCTCTCTCTCTGTCTCTCTCTCCCTCTCTTTTTCTCTGTCCAGTGAACTCA